GAAAATTATGATATATAACAATAATGAAAGAAAATTATGATAAAATATGACTTAAAGGTTTTTATAACATCATTTCACAGTACTGTACATATAGCCTACTCAACTTATGACCAAATTGTGTTAAGACCGGTCTGTCGGGACCAATTGTGGTCGTAAGTCGAGCAATCGCTGTATAGGTCTCTGCTCATTCATATCAATCCTCTTGACTCCCATTACCAAGCTCACCCATGCTTATTGTTTTGAGGTTCCCATTTTTGCTGCTTTAAAAAAAATGAAGTCCTTTTCCTATTTTGATTACGGATAACATGCCTAGTTCACCTACCTTCTGTCTTTAGCCCGCACTCTTTCTAATTTTGCAGTGTCTGGCTCCTAGCTTTGTTCTTACGTCGTTCCTGAGTTTCTGACTCAAATGCTTAAATGTCACTTTGGGTTTCTTACAATCAAGCTTAGTATGGCCAATAATTTCTTTTTTTTTTTTAATATAGAGACAGGGTTTCACCATATTGGTCAGTCTGGTATCTAACTCCTGACCTCAGGTGATCCACCCGCCTCGGCCTCCCAAAGTGCTGGTATTACAGGCAAGAGCCACCGCGCCCAGCCCAATAATTTCCTTTTCAATGCTGTTTTTGCTGTCTCAATATGTTGCACAATTCCACTCTGACTCTAATAATGAAATCCAAACACATTGAATTTAATCTAGTATCCCATCAAGCATCATGTATCTCCATTTGTACTTTTAGATGTGTTTCTCTCTCCGTCTTTTTTTTTTTTTCCTTGAGATAGAGTTTCGCTCACATTGCCCAGGCTGGAGTACAATGGTGCAATCTCTGTAAGAATTAAGTAAAATGATTTTCGTAAAGTACTTGGAAAATGTGCCTGGCACATAGAACATGCGCAATAAAATGCTGGCTTTGTTATTATTATCACTACTAATTTTATCAGAATTGAACTCCCTCATTCATGAAATGAGCTATCTACTTTATTCAGTGTGTCTTTGATGTTAATCAATGGCACTTTTATAAATTAAACTGAAATCACTTTTTAAGTATAAAAGGTAAGATAATTTACAGCTGGTTTTGCTCTTTTAAGTAGCTACTGCTGTTAAAATGCTGTTGGTTTTCCATATTTTAATTTATCCAGAAATTCTGCCTGTATATACATTTTTCTGTATATTCGTTTGCATTTTCTGTATAGACAGTATTATTTTAAAACAAGAAAAACGGGTTTTTATTTCCTAATCTCTTACTGTGTGTGTGTGTGTGTGTGTTGTACTGGACCGAGCATAGAAAGTTAGCACCAAGACAAAAGTATGCCAGATTGCAGGGTCATTTATTATGCTGGCGACCACAGAGGACTCACGTCTCTCCAACCTGTGGTGTCGAAAGGAGGGTGCCAAGACTTTTATACCCGAAAAACCACCTCGGGGATGGGGGTGAGGAGCGGGGATGGGGGTGAGGAGCGGGGATGGGGGTGAGGAGCAGGGATGGGGGTGAAAAGGTTTCGGACATTCCAAGGGCCAGGGGATTCTGTGATTCACCTCCTGGGCGGAGACGAGGGTGGGGGTCTCCGGACATTCCAAGGGCCAGGGGACTTTTGTCATTCTGTTTGTTACTTCAGTGGTTTACAGAAGTCAAGATAAGCATTTGTTCACACATTATCTGGGTAGTGATAGAAGTCACAG